AGCACGCAGGAAAATGTGAACAGTAATTCATCTTCTGGTCATGAAATGCACTGTTCTGAAATTTATGATGTAAAGGTAGAAGAACACATCTTCCAACCACATTTTCTCTTCACTCTTTAGACTGGCATCCTGTGTTTTCGGACAGTTGACTCCATGCCTGCCTAACACAGAAAGTTAACTCTTTCTGTGTTAACTCCATGCCTGCCTTCTACACTCCATCACCAAAGGAAAGAACAGGCCAGAGGCCCTGGGTAGAGCAACTAGAGGAGTCCAATTCAGCAAGGAATGTTCATCCCTCCTCTGGCACATCCTAAGCCCTGAGAGAGCACAATGTCATTACATCCACTGGAATCAAGAGCATATCTGGTGGGAACTTGGAATAATGTCTCACAAGCCCTGAGTACTACTTGACACATGGCACAGAGCCTACAGAGGGGTGACAGTGCCATTGATGGGGCACAGGGTAAATGATGCTTGCCATTCCCTCTACCTCACTGTTTTTGGGTGCTGCAGACCAGAGCTGCCACTAAGTAGGAACACAGAGGAGGGAGAGCTGCTGTGAGGGCCACTGATGTTGCTGAAGATGAGGGTCTGGGATAGATCATCTTTAGCCCAGGACACTGTACTCACCCAGTCCCTGATGTGAGTGAGTCACCCCAGATCAGTGTGTCAGCACTCCAATATGGCCATACATATGAGCTGGGGCAGGAACCCTAGTTTGGCCATGGTGGGTGACATGGGAGTCTGGGCTACCAGCTTATGTGGATTACTTATGCATCTCCTCCGGTCCTGCTTAGGTTTGATCTTAGATACACGATTTCCATCCTATGATGCATCTTGTCCCACTGCTGACACCTACAACCTCAAGAGGTCCACCAGATAACATGGCTCCAGTGGCAGATGTGCTTGCACTACAGTTTGGACCTGTTGCAGAGCTCTTTCCTACTTCAGGCTCCACTCAAGAGTCAGCACGCTTTTGTGTCATCCAGTATAGGGGCTGAAGCAGCATTCCTAGGTATGAAATGTGTTGCCTTCAGAAGCAAATGAGGTACACCATGCACTGTGCTTCCTTCTTTATGGTAGGGAATGCAATATGCAGTGATTTTATTTGAATTTAGAGGAATATTCAGGAATGGCCCTGGCCATTGGATCTCTAAGGACTTTATTGACATGTGTATCTCTGACTCTTCATAGGGTTTATTTCCCATCCTCTCTAGTGCATGTATCTTACCAAAATCTCTAGTGAGATAGCCATCTATCATTGCTTCTGCCCCATCCCCTGAGTGTCATGATGTTCTGTGGGACATTCAGGTAGTCCACATATCCTCAAGCTATTTTAGGATGGGAGGCAGTAGAGTTCATTTAACCCTGAGGCAAAACTTCAGTTTAATATTGTTTTCTAGCCTACTAAATACAAACCATTTCTGATCCTCTTTCTTGATTAGGAATGGAAAAGAATGCATCTCCCAGGTCAATGGTTGTACCAAAGGCCTCACTAATTGGTCCTACCAAAGATACTATGTCTAGTATAGCACCTGCATTCAGGGTTACTATTTGTTTAATCCTGGTGTAGATTACAGTAATTCTCCAGGGTTTATCTAGTTTCTGCAGGGGCTAGGCTGGTGAATTAAATGGAGATATGATTAATAGCACTGCCTTGTGCCCTTGAGGTTTTTAATGGTGACACAAATTTCTGCCATCCACTTCAGAATGCAATATTATTTTTGATTGACAACCTCGGCTGACAGTGGTATTTTCAGAGTTTCCATTTGGTGCTCTCCACTATGACAGGTCTTAGCCCATGGGCCAGAGACCCAAAGTTAAGGCTAATCCAACTATCAAGTAGATCTGTTCCATCTGTGCACTTAGGAAACAGGGCAATGCCCACAGCATGTTAGTGGACCCAGCAGGACCACTAGGAGCTGGACATTAGCTACTACTTCACTTAGTGCCTGTCCCTGGGGGGCCACACTCTAACAGGAGACTGTGATTACACTGTGGGTACCCAAGTGTCCATGTCAACTCAGACCTGTGTCCAGTAGTCCTTGGACTGTCTGAGTCCTCCCCTTTCCCCAGTGATTAGCCACCTGAGTAAATGTCCATAGGTCCATTTGGGTAAGGACTACTTTTGTGGGTTGAATTGCGTCCCCTCCAAAAAGATCTGTTGAAGTCCTAAACCCCATACCTCAGAATGTGACCCTATTTGGAAAAAGTTTTAACCACATGGAGATGAGGTCATTAGGGTGGATCCCACTCCAGTATGACTGGAGTCCTTATGAAAGGGTGAAATATGGATTGATTCTTGCTGTACAGAAGCCATGAGGATTCCTGAGACAATGCATGAGTACACTCTACATTGAAAATGTCAAATCTGAGCCACCCCCCTTTCCACACCCAGGGCACACATTCAGATAGCATTTTCCCCCCAGAGGGACTGATTCAGCCCCTGAAACATTCTCAATACAGTGTAACAAGTGGTCTCTGAAATGAAATCTTATTCTCAAGCAGGACCTAGATACTGGCCTGGCCCTCTGTCTCCAGAAAACTCTTTGATGGGAGCCCTGAGGCATTTCAAGGGCTTATTAACCGGCAGCTAGGTTTAATGAGTATATTCTGTAACTTCCAGGTATTCTGTTAGGACACTGTTATCCAAACAGTGCATAACAAAACTTTGGTTCATTGGAAAGACATTCATTTCCTTGGGTTCTTTGCCAATTTTTGCTTTAGGGAAGTAGAGGGTGGAGGCTTTGGTCACCATGGTGAAGACAGCCAGAAGGACAGTTGGATGTGCCTGCATAGAATGCAGTGGGTGTGGTTGTGGGAGTGGGTTCTGAAGGGTGTGTTGTTCAGTGGGGTGAGAGGGAAGGCATGCGCTTTTCCAAGAATCTCAAAGATAAAGAGAAAAGGGGGATAGATTTCTGTCTGCTCCTTTCTCTTTTACTACCCCAGCTAATCAGACTTGTTGTGAGCAACTCTGGATGGAATGAAAATAAATTATCCTCAAAGCAGTCTGTGTTGGGGTCTACTGACCCCACATGTGTGCACAATACATGCAACACATACATCCTCATGCATGTACACACATGAATGCACAAGCACACACAAGCACACACGTACACATATGTATCTCACCAATATTTTTAGCAGTGTACATACAAGCAGTGTTGCAAAGAGGCTGGAAGCATTTCCATGTTCAGCAAAGCTCCAGGCTGTGCTGTGTATTAATAGCCTACTGGCCAACACATACACAGTGTTTTGTGATGACAGCATCTTATTGTTTTATTTAAGTTGTTTCTTTTCTTTTTGGCCAAGGGAGGAAATGGGCCACCTTCTCATACTGTCCACATGCACATTTCTCTATTTAACCCTTTGGTGTCCAGCAGAGGGAAATGTTGTAACTTTCTGGCATACTGTGTATGTCTTCTGTCTCTAATACCTGTTGACCTTGAAAAAGAATCCTACTTGCCTTTGACAGCCACAGGAAAATTTCTTTTCCTAGTGCTTTTATTCAGAAGCCTTGATCCTTCCTTCTGAGGAAGAATTTGTGCCATGGAGACTATAGTCATTCTCCAGGATTTATCCAGTTTCTACAGGGGCAGAAGCTTGTTGTAGTCTGTCTTGTGTAGACTATAAAGCCCATGCTGGTTACATGGTTAACAATTGGGATTTGTACATTTTCCTGATGTTTACTTTCCCCCTTTGCTCCTTGTATGACATATTCACATCCTCAATTTTTATTTCAGATGAGAGCCCTTCTGTATATGTTGTGTGTGTGTGTGTGTTGAGAAAGGGAAAGGAAGGAAAAAGGGAGAGGAAGGCAAATACAGGGGAACAAAGACAGAGTTTGCACAACCCCTGCTGGGCCAGCAACCCCTGCCAGTGAATGAAAAAAAAAAAAAACCTGAAAAGGACTTTCACTTTCTAAAGCAGTGGTTTCAATAAAGTACTATTTCACACCAGTCAGAATGGCTATTATTAAAAAGTGAAAAAATAACAGATGCTGGAGAGGTTGAGGAGAAAGGGAATACTTATAAACTGTTGGTGAGAATGCAAATTAATTCAGCTCCTGTGGAAAGCAGTTTGCAGATTTCTTAAAGATCTAAAATAGAATGAATATTAGACCTAGCAATCCCATTACTATGTATATACCCAAAGGAATATACATCGTTCTACCAAAAAGATACTTGCACATGTATGTTCATCGCAGCACTATTTACAACAGTAAAGACATGTAATCAACCCTGGTGCCCATCAAGTGTGGATTGGATTAAAAAATGTGGTACATATTTTCATACCACTTTTTTTTTTTTGGCCATGGAATACTATGCAGTCATAAAAAATAAGGAAATTATGTCCTTTGCAACAACATGGATGCAGCTGGCAGCCGTTATTCTAAGCAAACTAATGCAGAAACAGAAAACCAAATACCACATGCTCTCACTTATAAGTGGGATCTAAACACCGGGTACATAAGGACATAAACATGGGAATAATAGACACCAGAGACTCCAAAAGGAAGGAGGGAGAGGGGGGCAACGGAAGAAAACCTAACTATCTGGTATTATGTTGGGTGACTGGATCATTAGAAGCACAAACCTTATCATAACGCAATATACCTATGTAACAAACCTGAACACAAATACCCGTGAATCTAAAATAAATAAAGTAATGGTTTGGTGGAATAGGCTGGTGAGGCTCTTGGCCAGATTGTAGAGCTCTGGGGAGGGTAGAGCTGTCAGGACAAGAGGACCAAATATATAGAACTTGGAACCACACGATGAGAAATCTGCATTTAATTGGCAGTGAAGAGCAATGGAAAATATGTGTGCCAGGGAGCGCCAGGTGCAGGCTGACTAGCGAGGAGGGAGCCTGGGGCTGGGGAGGCGCACTGGGCTGCTGTTGGAGCCCTCCGGAGGGCGGAACTGCGGCGGGGGCTGTAGGAATGCCTTGGAGCTGACAGTCAGGAAGGACATTTCAGAGGTCTGTGACTCGCCACTGACCTGATCAGGAGTCCAGGAAGCGGGAGGAGGCAGAGATGGCTCCCAGCCAGGATCCGGAGGCCCGGGAGGGGCAGATCTTCCAGCCTGGTGGGTGAGGCCTGGAATGGGCGGGGCTCCCAGCCAGGAGGTGAGACCTGGAATGGGCGGGGCTCTCAGCCTGGAAGGGGAGGACTGGACGGGGCGGGGCTCTCAGCCTGGAAGGGGAGGACTGGACGGGGCGGGGCTCCCAGCCAGTAATGGGAGACCAGGAGGGTGATGGAGCTTAAAAAGGAAGCAGAAAGGCCAGGAGGAAGAGCTTCACTGGAGGAGGGTAAGTTTTGTTTCAGACTTGTAGGGCTGAAATTGTTGAAGAACACCTGGGAGAAAATGTCCAGTCACTGTCACTGCAAACGTGGGTCCAACCTTCAGAAGAGGGATTTGGACTGAGGATGTGGGTAGGAGCACCCTCTCTTAGACAAGAAAAATTGAGACTAAGAGGAGGTGAGATCCCTGGGGGATCATAATTAAGTAAAAAAATCTATCCCTAAAATCCATCCTGACATTTTCATTTATAGGATATACATATATATGTATCTGTTATAATCTGAAATGTGTTCCTCAGAATTCATATGTTGAAGCCCTAACCGCCTCATACCTCAGACTGTGACTGTATTTGGAGATGGGGCCTTTAAAAGGATAATTAAGGTAAAAGGAAGGCATTAGAATGCGCTTTAATCCAATATGTCAGGAGTCCTTATAGGAAGAGGAGATGAAGACACAGACACCCACAGAGGGAAGACGGTGTGAGGACACAGGGAGAAGACACCATCTGCAAGCCCAGGAGGGAGGCCTGAGGAGAAACCAGTCCTGCCCACAACTGGATGTGGGGCTTCCAGCCCCCAGCACTGTGGGGAAATAAAGCTCCATTGTGTAAGCGGCCCCATCTGTGGTGTTTTATTGTGGCAGCCCCAGGAACTAATACCGTATCCCTACCGATACATACGTATTTACTCACATGGAGCCACACACATGTGCATATATGTAATATTTTTGCCTAAAAAAAAGTAAGCCATGCCTAAAAGTATAGGCGGAGAGAAGGCTAAAAGAGACTGCTCGAAGAGACTGCCAAGGTACAAGACACATCATATCAACAGTGATGATTTCCTGAATAGGAAGGCTATTTGGATGGCTGGTTTATAGTTTTCATGCCCAAGGAGTTTTCCAAGGCCCAGCGTTTACCCTTTGCAGCAGCTCACTCTCCTGAAATGTGCCTTCATGAAATTAGATAAGCAGGGAGGAGATATGGAGTACCTCTGCCTAGCACTACGTTAGAAGGATCCCCAGGCATTTGCGTCTTATGCGATGATGAGAAAGCAGTAGTTGCTGGCAAACCTCAGCCAACTTCCAGTCTTGTCCTTTTGACAGGGGACTGCTGTCTTGAGTACCCATCTCAGGCATCATATCCACCTTGGCCCTGCCTTGGGAGCCTGTAGATGTGGACAGAAAAGAGGGATGCTGCCTTCCTGGCTGGGCCTTTCTTCACACACAGGCATATGGACCCAAGCTCTAAAGGATGAAGACTCCATGGTCTCTGAAGTTTTCATTATTCTCCCGCTCCTAAAGCTCCACTTTGCAGGCAATGCACTGTAACAAAAGGACCAGCACAGTGCCCAGCACACAGAAAGCTATCAATCAATGTCAGCCTTAACCATTATGTTGGTTGACTTGCCATCCCTCTTCCTCAACTGCAAGCTATGTGAGAGCAAGATTCAAGTAACCTTGGTATTACACAATTCCATCGTGATGGGTTCCGTTACATTTGTCAAATGATTCAGAGTAGGACAACGGGAATTTTCTTGACAACATCACAGCATTGTAAAGTCTTTGCTTTGCACGGAAGTGTGGGACTGCAGCAATGATTGTGCAAGTTGAAACTGTGTGAAGCAATGTTAAGAAGTAACAAGAAAAATTATGATTGTTTTGTGATCTTCAAAAAATTTTTAAAATGTTAAGAACTGTTTTACTACTGGTTGTAAATGTACAAGAACATTTAAAAATACCAAAACGAATACTTATGTAGCATGTCATAATTTAAAAAATTAGAAACATTGAGAAACAGTGTTTTATTTCTTTGTAAAAGACTTATGGAGAGTAAATTGAACAGGGCTTTGCCACTTTCTCGTTGTAAAACTTGCAGTATGGACCAGGCATTTTTTCTATGCCTTGGTAAATTGTCACATTCCTTTCTATACTTGGATAGGCTTCCTGCATTTTGTCCTGCACACTTTCAGTGCTGTGAGATATCTCCAAGATTTTCTTTATTATGAAGTTTTTGCAAGCATCTTCATCCTGAGTCCCTCTCGCTGCACATCCAGAATCTCTCAAAAGACAACAGCATCAACGTTTCCACCATCAGCTCTTTCTTCTCTAAACTCATTTACGTCTGAGTCAACTTTCACCTCCTGCAGTCTCACTTTTTGTTTCTTTGCTATACTTTCATCTTCATTGGCTACCTCCCTCTCTTGAGTATTCATTTCTGTAAAATGTCATGTGGGTTTGTCACTGGGAGCCAAGGAGGCAGCACGAGCACACGCTTTGCTGTCTGTGTGTGAACTGATAACACGGAAGGACTGAAGGATGTGATGAGGTTAATCACTGATCATGATGCACATCTGTTATTATGTGGTAGTCTGTGCACTGCAGAGCAGGCAGCAGAGGTTGTCCCCCATGCAATCACTCACAGTTAATGGTAACTGAAATTGGAACCATGTTGGTAGGGGGCTGGTGTTATTTAACTTCAGTTGCCATGGGACAATGAAAATTTGTGTGTTTGGGACTATGCAAGGTGAGGACTGCCTGAATGTTCCATAATGTGATGAGTGCCTCACAAACAGGGCATATATTATCAATGAGTTTTTTCATTATTCTTGACCTTCAACATATAGACGTGCATGTTGATGGTATCAGGTTGTTTCTGCGTGAATGAGCTTTACTCCTCTGAGAAACGGCATTCCTGGCCCTCCTCCTTGAATCAACTGCACAAAAGTATCTGAAGGAAATTTGCTTACCTGCTGCTTTAGATGGAAGCTTTCCTGCAGTGTTACCCGGTGTCTGTTTCTGGCCGATGATTAACCATGGGGAACAAGCGTTTGGGATAAAGAAGTTGCAGAACTTTTAAGAGAATGTAATATGTTCATGTGCACTGGGACTCTCCTTGAGCTATATCAAGTTTCCTGGATTCTGAAATGCTATAATTTTAGAAGTGTCATAAGGTTAAAACAGCTTTCTAGGAAGTACCTTTGCTGAAAGAATACCAGGAATGGTGCACTGGACAGCTTTTGGACATGTCTTGCATTTTCTCAGAACTATCTCTCATCTTGGCCATGGCTTCAGTCACATCCTGAGTGACTCACCTCGGCTTGGGCTGCCTCTTACTGCAGTTCTAAACTCTGGTGGGGGACACGGGCATGACCCACCCAATACTCATATGTGCTTTAGCTGGAAATAAGGAGCAGAGGGGCGAGGGGAAGGACCCAATGGCTAAATGTTCCTGCTTTTTTTCCCTCAGGCAGACAGTTCTAAGGTACATGCTGTAGGTTGCTTGGACTACCCTGGCAAGATCTTCTCCCAGAAATCCACCTTGGTGGCTGACTTATTAACTCATTGGTCTGTTGACTTTTGCTCCTTGTCTCACCCCTGCTCCCTGTGCTCTCTTTCTAATAAGCTACCTCCTGGTAAGGCTCTGCTTTGGAGGAAACCCAGACTGAGGCAGGTGGGATGTTGTAACCAGGGAGGCCTGAGTCCTGGGTCTTTGCCTGGGGCTCCCAAATAGGAGAGGGATTGGAGGTGGTATTGTGGGGGAGAATGGTGCAAAGCCCAAGGGAAAGGGGTGCCGTTACCACAGCAGAGGAGATGTGAACCTGCACAGACCAAAAACAGGAGAGAGACAGGGAAAGAGAAAGAGAAGGGGGAGAAAGAGAGAAAGGGAGAGAGAGAAACAGGAAGGGAGAGAGAGATGGGGAAAGAGGAGAAGAGAAAGAGAGGGAGGGAGAGAAAGAAAAGAGATGGAGAGAGAGAAAAGGGTGCGGAGAGAGATAAAGAGAGAGGGAAAGAGAGAGAGAATCATCTACTATACTACATGATTTCTTTTTTCTTTTCTTTTCTTTTTTTTTCTGAGATGAAGTTTTGCTCTTGTTGCCCAGCCTGGAGTGCAGTGGCGTGATCTCGGCTCACTACAACCTCCACCTCCTGGGTTCAAGCGATTCTCCTGCCTCAGCTTCCCAAGTAGCTGGGATTACAGGTGCCTGCCACCACGCCCAGCTAATTTTTGTATTTTTGGTAGAGACAGGGTTTCACCATGTTGGCCAGGCTGGTTTCGAACTCATGACCTCAGGCGATCGGCCCACCTTGGCCTCCCAAAGTGCTGGGATTACAGGCGTGAGCCACCGTACCTGGCCGTGATTTTTTTTTTTTTAACCTATAAAAGCCTTGAGTAGTGATGGAAGTGATTCCTAGGAATGTGGTTTACTAAAGGGTCAGGCTGGAAGTTCACCACAAATATGCCACAGTAGCGTCTGGTACTCTCTCAATGTTCCACCCACCAGAGCATACAAAACAGCCACATTCCCCAAACACTTAATTCTCAAAACATACTTGTAGAGGAGGGAAGCCTATTACTCCCATTAGAAAGATGGAAAACCAAGGTGAAACGGTTAACTGAGCTAGCAGGTCCTCAAAAGAAAGTCACTGCTGAGTTTGGGATTGTGTTTTCAGCTTCCTGCCCACTGTGGGTGAGCTCCACCTTTTACTGGAACCAACTCCAAGGAGGAAGGTTTGCTGGGTTTCCTGGAAGGCAGGGGTTTGCATCTGCAGGCCCTGCGTGGAGGCATTGGATTCGGAGGCAGGCAGGAGAATGCTGCAGCTGGTATGCCTGCAGAACGGGAGGGAGAGAAGCCACTGGGAGTGATCTGGGCTTGGGATCGGGCTGTGTCATCACCAACTGTCTGCCCAGGCATGAACTTGCCACTGCTGTGGAAGAATCTGACTGCATCCAACAATGCCCAAGGGTGTGGCTGAATTCACTTCTCAGCAGACTTGGGTCATGTTCATATACTATTCTTTAAAA